GTGAATGCATTTTCTTCATCAAAGGTGAGAAATGGTTTACCTGAGATAGGCTGGAGGTTCAGTGCTGATGGACACAGCCTTGTACTTCTCATCATGCCCCTCAAATATCTCCTCTACTTCGGAGGCCTTCAGCAGCGTCACACTGGTGGCTAAAGTGGTGTAACCGTGATCTAACACAAAACATTGCTTATACTGTAAGACAGAAAGTGCCACTTCCAGCTAACTTTAACCCTTTTAAGTCCTCAGACCTTTTATCAAATGTTTACAGTGAATTCACACTTACCGTGAGATGATGCTACTATTTTCTTTCTCTCCTCTACTGTCGCTAGTCTTCTTGAGAGTGATGGGTAGCGCTTATATAAAGACCCTCTGAACATACGTAAGAAATTCCCCACCTAAACACAGACAACATAATGGAACAGGGCTAGTTCTGTCAGTGTCTGTACTCTTTTATCTTTGGTGAACTCGCATCTTGTAATAATACAACTACACCGCAAAGGACACCCCTATACCTAATGTGTAAAACGCCGGGACTGACTCCTTTCAATGTATCATCAGTTAGCGATCTTATCCCAATCGACAGTAATCTTAGCAAGCTAGCTGATGTATTAGCACTCAATGCAACACAATATGCGGTTTATACAAACATAAATCCTCGTAAAAATAGCGTACTGCGTTAAATTACACACCTCTGATCCAATCATGTAAAATTCTTCATCCTCCTCTAGTTGGAATTTAATAGGTTTCTGTCCGTATGTTTTGCTTAACGCCATATTGAACGTTAGCGCAACTCGTTCCGAGCGCCCGATCTGTTTGGCGCAGGAAAATGACGTATGCGGGCTCCGAATTTAATTTTAAAGAGTTATTCAACAATTAAAGAATAACAAATCTCCAGGCAACGACGGGCTAACCAGTGAATTTTATAAGACTTTTTCTAAAGAACTTTCACCTGTCTTATTGTTAGTAGAAGCTATACAAAATGGTGTATTGCCTGTTTCATTAAAACAAGGAATTATAACACTGATTCCCAA